GTATCTTATTACTCGTATGGAAGTGTGCCAAGGGGTCTCGGGTTCCATGCTCTTGAAGTTTGGAAAGGGCCTTTAAGGGCTAGGCTAACCTGAGCTTTCTACAGGATCAAAATTCTCGCTTGCATATTTCTCTCAATAACATATACTGTCCTCCGTTGTGGATGTTGAAGAATAATAAATCCTATTGTTAGATGGTACTTAGCCAATGGTTGAAACATTAATGCTCTGAAACACTTGGAGCCTTGGTACTCCTAATTTTAAATCGCCCTGCCAAACCAACATTGTCCAGCTGGAAAATCTCGTAGTGGTTGATTTCATTGTTGATGATCAATGGAACCAACAACTCCTCCTTGTGAATTTCAATGATAAAAAGGTGGACAGAATTTTGGGCATCCCCATCCATCATGATACCAATGAGGATTGGTGTGAATTGAACATACAATACACTAAAAGAACGATCATCTACTGTATTGGATATTATTAATATTTTACAACATGAGTATATGGGGATGTTATAATATGATGATATTATATTTTTGCCATTACTTTAAAGGTAGATGTACTGGGTATTCTTAGTATTTTAAATGTATGAGTAAGCTTGTTAACGATCTGATTTTAACCCCCAAGTTTGGAAATGAGCATACTCAAATTAAAATAGCTGGATCCTTTTCAGCTAAGAATTGGCTTGATTCAGCTCAAATTAAATTACTTTAATTCTTTCCAACTCGAAATTGGATAGAAAATTGGCTAGTGATTCATTATATTCATTTTATTTAGCATTATATACATAATTTTTTATAAATAAAAAATACTACGAGCAGGTCTTCAGCCAGTTCGAGTCGATCAATGTATGACACAAAATCGGCTAAAAAAAAATTCAATCTAAAGTTTTGACTCTTAGATTGACTCGTTTATTTAATATGATCTCGATTCGAGCAAAAATTAGAATCAATTTCTTAGTGATTATTGATCTTCCCGCTAAATTTAGAACCATACATATGATCGTTTCGCTCGGTTGTTCTCTAGCTCGGTAGCTTGATTGTCTTAAGGTCGATGGGACTTGTTCACTCGGCTAGGATTGGTTAGCGTTATTGGTCGGCTGATTTAATCTGACTGACGATCCTTGATAATTGATGGGGGGACTTCTAGACATCCCCAATATGATTGGAGATGTTAGGGGATTGGATCTTTTCTTAGGTCAGCTTCTTTATGATGGTTCGTTTAGGCTCCTACTGATCTCTTTTCTGATTGAACCACTCGAACTCGAATCATTTTCTCGCCTTTATTTATCCTACTAGTGGCTCGATCGTTATTGGTCTTGTTGGCTTTTGCTTAGACGGCTCCATTCTTTTAGATAAGTGAGCCTCACATTCCTTTACCGGCGATCCCTCTCTAATTGTATTCTTCTCCTCCGGATCGTCAGATTTACTCAGAATCAACACTTACACATTTTTTATGTGTACTTTCGTGTGTATTATCAAAATTAAGATATATCAAAATTTAGACATAAAAAATTATTTTCATTCTAAATTATTTAGGAATATATACATATATATATTACATAATTCTCATGTATTTACATATGCCACCCAAAGTTTCATACTTATGCTTATTAATTTTATAACGCATCAAAAATTTTTGTATGGAAAATTATATTTTATCTTTTAAAAGATAATGATTGTTCTTTTCATTTGATGCTAAAGTTTTGTGGTATATATGTAAATATGAATGTTTAGCATAAACATGAAGTAGACAAGACTTGTGTGGTATGTATGTAAATGCCCCAATATTTAATAATAATGAATTTTTTATTTTATTCAAGTAAATAAATAAAAATATCTCATAATTTAATGGCATGTAGATTTCCGCTGAATGTAATTAAATTAAATATATATGATAATTAAAATCTATTTTTATTCTTTTTTTTTTAATTCTGTATTAAATCAAGAGATATTTTTCTCAATAAGAAAATTATTTACAGCTGTATTAGAAAACATCTTTAAAAAATTGGAAGGAATATTTTATAGCTCGAAAAGATTAAAAATTGTTGTCAACTAAGTGAGTTATCTAAAATGGATGGGCGATGATGGGTGTTAGCGTTGGTTGATTACATCTGGCAGAAGAGGATAACGGTGGAGTGTCACTTGATGGAGAGATTATTACGTTCGTCATCCGGACGTCGAGATACGTCAGAACGACGGCCGGACGCAGCTCGACGTACGGACGACGAACGTAATAATTTTTCCACTTGATGGCATTTGAATATTTATATGATTCAAGTTCTTAAATATTGTATCAAAATATGCGTTTGATTATATGAAATTGCTCTTAACATATTAATGCGGTAGTGCTAATTATTAAAAAAAATAAAACTAAATTCAATTTTAGAACGGATAATTTTCACCATAATTAATTTTAAGCTGCATATTTTAATATTTTAAGTGTTATTAATTTAAATCCAAAAACTTTAAGAAGTTTTTAATAGAGAGAGTAAGAGAGAAAAACAACAAATATATGGCATTTTTATTATGAAATGAGTTCTATATTTGGAAAGATACAAAAATAGTTATTTTTTTTTTAATATTAGCTTTCCCGCGAGAAAGAAACATTGACGGCCTCAAGATTCTATTCCTACCGCTCACTTATAAATGCAGCCCGCTTTCCAAAAAAAAAAAAAACGGGGCTAACACTTGAGGAGGCAATATTGGAAGAAGGATTGGATGACCATAGGAAGAGGAAGCTCCGCCGTAGTCTACCTTGCATTCCACCATAGCTTCCCCTCCGCGACATTAGCCGTCAAATCCGCTAATCTCTCTTCTTCCGCGCTTCTCCAACACGAAGAAGCTGTGCTCAAAAATCTGCAGGGATGTCCCCAAATCATCCGCTGCTTCGGCCACGATATCACCGCTGATGCCTTCAACAAACCAATTTACAACGTTTTCCTTGAATACGCTTCCGGCGGCTGCATTTCCGGCACCCTACCAGAACCAACCATCCGCTGCTATGTTGGTTCCATCCTCCTTGGTCTTCGACACATCCATAATATGGGATATGTCCACTGTGACATCAAACCAGATAACATCTTAATTGTCGACGGAGAAGCGAAGATCGCCGACTTCGGTCTTGCGATGAGGGTGGGAAAGGAATCCTCCAAGGGAAACATAAGGGGAACGCCGCTATACATGGCTCCTGAATCTGTTTCAAGGAATGAGTACAATGCGGCGGCGGACATTTGGGCTTTAGGATGCTCGGTGTCGAAAATGGCTTCAGGCCGACTGCCTTGGCACAATGTCGAGGATTCTGACCATGGAATTCAACATCTGTTGTTTCGAATCGCGTTCAGCGACGAGCTACCAGAGATCCCCCTGGAGATGTCAGAGGAGGGAAAGGATTTCCTTCGTTGTTGCTTCCAAAAAGATCCCAAGGATCGCTGGACCGCAGAAATGTTATTAATGCACCAATTCGTGACCTCATCTTCAGAATTGGAATTAGACGTAGAAGTCATTAATTGCTCTGTTTTGCACCAGACCCCCAAAAGTGTGTTAAGTTACTCATTCATCAATCCAATAATTCCACTGACTCCTCCGAAACCTTTGAAACTGCCGGATTCATTTCCGATTTTGGAAGCGGTGGGATGCACGAGGTAGGGATAGAGAAAGAGTCTATTTTTTATGCGTTAAGTTCCTTTGCTGAATCACGATTGGTGTTCTTCTTGAGCTCTGATTCAGAGAAAAATGTAGGGGTTAATCATTAACTAAATAAGCATGATTAGTTATTTAGTAAATAAATCTGATACTCATGTGTTGGTATCTTTGATCAATTTATTGTTTTTGGTTATAATTCAATCTTAACCTTCTTTACATCTTTCTTTATCTATCTATATATATATATATATATATTAAGAAATTGTTTAAAAATAAAATTATTTTAAATATTTTCATAGTTGAGTTAGTTTAGTTTATTTTATATAATTAATACTTTTTATTTACATACATGCCACCTTCCTTTTATATGACAATGTGTATTTCACATATTAAAAGTTAACTTGGTGTACTTTTTTAATTGATGTGAAAGATTTGGGTGGTATAAATATAAAAACCAAAGTTTAGACGTTAGACATATAAATACATTAAACTAAGATGTTAAACTAAGAATCGATAGTCCTTTTTTTAAGTTTGCAACAAGATGTCAAACTCATTATTTTGTCTCCTGGTACGTAATTATAACAAATATATTAAAAATTTATGAGTTGTTTCTAAATTATGTATTTCATGCAGGTAAATATTATCTGGTTGACGCCTGATATCCCTTACAAAGGAGTTATATATGTAAATGATAGGAATTGGGTGGTATGTATGTAAATACCCTTCTATTTTTAAAAGTGTTACATACATAACACACAATTCTTGTATGTTTACATTTCCGATACTTAAAATTTGATATTTACTTATATACTACTTCAATATCCCAATCACATGTGAATTTATGCATGAAAATGTAAAACTCATTTTCGAAAACTTGATGTTGTCGGCATCCTTGCTGTGATTTAAAGGTCTCAACATCATATATATATATATATATATATATACACAAATACATAAGAATGATGTGTTATATATAAATATATAGGATTTGGATGGTATGTATGTAAATGCCCCATGCATAATTAACCTTCATCATAAATACCTCTAATAAAATCATTATTTCTCACAAGATACTTTCTAATTTCAAAGGAATCCAATGGGGACCTATGGTTAGAATAGCAAAAAGAGAAAAAAAAAAAAACACTTGCAGTCTTCTCAGCCTTGAATAGATCACATTTCAGTACTTGATTGACACAATGATTTGAAATTCAGAACCAAGTGTTTTTTTGGATTTTAACTGTTATGTAATATTTTTTTTTTTTGATTTTAGTATATTAAATGTTTTCTCATTATTATTTATGTTACAAACAACTCGACTGTTTGTGGTCGAAATGATTGTTTTTTCCACAAACAGCTACAGATCAATTGTTTTCAAACCGCAGAAACCACACAGCTTAACGAATTCTTTAGTTCAGGGGCAAAATTGTCATTTATCTAGAAATAGCTGCAAATCAACTGTTTTACAAACGCATAAAACAAACAGACAAACAACTTATTAGGATCATCTGCAGATATGAATGCAGTTTATCAGCATAAGCTGGATAAACTGCATCCTCCCTAAACAGATCCTTAAACAATTTAAATCTCCCTCACATAAAATTTTATATATGAGTGATATTAAACTTGCACAAACTTCTACTGTTCATTCACGCTCAACACAATATTTTTGGGGCAAAACGCTCAAAATCTATCCTCAATCAGATTGAATGTAATTAAATTAAACATGAAGGACAATTAAGATCTATTATTTTTCTTTTTTAATTCCTTTATTAAATCAAGAAACATATTTTCTCAATAAGAAAATCATTTACAGCTGTCCTTAGAAAATTGAAAAGAATATTTTATAGCTGGCCGGGAAATATCTTTATGCATGGGAAGTTAAATATGACAACATATCTGAACTTTTTGTTCGAAGATTTTAGCACATCCTACTCGATTCTCATGTATTTATATATGGCAACATATTTGCAATGTATTTAAATATAGAAACATATTTTAACTTTTATTTAAAATACAATTTTCATAGAATTTTATCCCCCACAACATATTTGGGATGTCCTCAGATCATCCGCTACTTTGGACATGACATCACCACCGACACCTCCGGCGAACTAATGTACAACCTTTTCTTTGAATAAGCCGTCGGAGGCTGCATTTCCGGTATCCTACCGGAGCCAACCGTCTGCCGCTGTGTTCGTTCTATCCTTTTGGGTCTTCAACACATCCACAACATGAGATATGTTCACTGTGACATAAAACCCGATAACATCTTAATTGTCGACGGAAAAGCGAAGATCGCCGATTTCGGTCTTACTACGAGGGAAGGAGAGGAATCCACCAATGGATACATAAGGGGAACGCCGCTGTATGTGGCTCCCGAGTCTGCTTCAAGGTATGAGTACAATGCAACGGCAGACATTTGGGCTTTAAGATGCTCGGTGTCGGAAATGGCTTCCGACCAACTACCTTGGCTCAATGTCGAGGATTTTGACTATGGAATTTGGCCTCTGTTGTTTCGAATCGGGTGCAACGATGAGTTGTCGCAGATCCCCCAGAGATGTCGGAGGAGGGTAAAGATTTTCGTCGTTGTTGCTTCTAGAAAGATCCAAACAAATGTCAGATTGCAGAAATGTTATTAACGCACTCATTCGCCGCTTCCTCCTCTTCAGAATTTGAATCAGAAGCAGAAGTCATGTCTTGCTCTGTTTTGCACCGAATGCCCAAAAGTCTGTTTGGTTACTCATTGGCCAATTCAGTAATTCCACTTACTCCTCCGAGAACTTTGAAACAACTGGATTCATTTTCGATTTTAGATGCGGTGAGAGAGATGATGAGAGGATTGGCCACACTAAAAAACTGTCAGATTGGGCGAACACTTTGTCGGAGAAGGAGGAGGAGGAGGAGGGAGGATGGTTTACTGTGAGGGAGAAGAACTCGAGTGGTAGAATTCAAGAAGAGATTGTTCAGCCCGAAGAGTCTCTTTCTTATGCTTGACGTTTCTAAGCCGCCATTGGTATTCTTCTCGAGCTCTGATTCAGTGAACAATGTAAGGATTAATCATTAACGGAATCAGCATAATTAGTTTTTTAATAAACTAATCCTGTACTAATGTGTTGGTATCTTTGAACAATTTACTTGCTGCTTTTGGTTATAATTCAATTTTAACCTTCTTCGCATCTATCTATCTATGTATATAGTAAGAAATCATATATAAATTATTTTAAATATCTTCATTGTTGAGTTTTATGTTTATAATAAATTTCACCTCTTTTTACTCCCAAAGTTCATCTTACGAGCCTTTCAATTGATATTTTTTAATACTTTCATAAGTGATTAACTAAAATAAATGTCAAGAATTATTTTTGAATATGATATATTTATATAAAGAAAATAAAATCAATCTTTTAGGCCATATAATTTATTGCATTTAGGCAAATTAAGTATATTGGTTTCTTCATATTTTGAGGATATTTATTCAGGCTGTTTTAATTACGTGAGTGTACTTCGTGGAAGAAGCTTTTAGGAAGAAGAAAACGCCAGGTCACCCTAAAAAAATTATAGGAAAATTTACATACATACCACTCAGTCGCTATGTATTTACATATCTAACACCTAAACTTCAAATTTTACGTACAAGTCATTATCGACATCCTCGAAAGGTGATTTCACATTTTAAAAGTTAAAATGGTGATATCTTTGATGTGATAAGAAAGCTTTTGGGTGTTATAAATGTAAAATGTAAATTTTAGGTGTTAGATATTAAAATATATAATAGCTGAGTGGTGTGTATGTAAATGACCCATTATTATATGTACTGTTATCCTAATCTTTATAAATTCTTCTCTACAGGACAACATGAACAACAGAAGAGAAATGAGAGGAAGAAAATGAAGGAGGGTGTGAAGTAGAGATGGGATCATGCCTTGATGCTTTTCTAGCCACAAATCAAAGATTATTAACAGAGAGAGCAAGAGAGAATAACAACAAATATATGACTTTTTCATTATGAAATGAGTTCTATATTTGGAAAGATACAAAAAATAGTGAATTTTATTTTAATATTAGCTTTTCCCGCATTCTGAGAAAGAAATGTTGACGGACTCAAGATTCTATTCCTACCGCTCACTTATAAATGCTGTCCGCTTTAAAACGTTCTTCTCCCACACTTGAGGAGACAATATTGGAAGATGGATTGGGTGAGAGGATCCACCATTGGACGAGGAAGCTCCGCCGTAGTCTACCTTGCATTCCACCATAGCTTCCCCTCTAATACATTCGCCGTCAAATCAACTAGTCTCTCGTCTTCCGCGCTTCTCCAACGCGAAGAAGTTGTACTCACAGATCTGCAGGGATGTCCCCAAATCATCCGCTGCTTCGGCCACGATATCACCGCCGATATCTCCAACAAACCAATCTACAACGTTTTCCTTGAATACGCCTCTGGGGGCTGCATTTCAGGCGCCCTACCGGAACCAACCATCCGCCGCTATGTTCGTTCCATCCTCTTCGGTCTTCGACACATCCACAACATGGGATATGTCCACTGTGACATCAAACCCGATAACATCTTAATCGTCGACGGAGAAGCGAAGATCGCCGACTTCGGTCTTGCGATGAGGGTGGGAAAGGAATCCTCCAAGGGAAACATAAGGGGAACGCCGCTATACATGGCTCCTGAATCTGTTTCAAGGAAAGAGATGTCGAAGGAGGGTAAGGATTTCCTTCGTTGTTGCTTCCAGAAAGATCCCAATAATCGTTGGACCGCAGAAATGTTATTAATGCACTCATTCGTGAACTCATCTTCAGAATTGGAATCCGAAGTGGAAGTCATTAATTGCTCTGTTTTGCACCAGACCCCCAGAAGTGTGTTAAGTTACTCATTCACCAATCCAATAATTCCACTGACTCCTCTGAAACCTTTGAAACTGCCGGATTCATTTCCGATATTGGAAGCAGTGAGAGAGATGATGACAGAATTGACAATTGAAAAGCGGCCGGATTGGGCTAACACTTTGTCGGAGGAGGAGGAAGGATGGCTTACTGTGAGGGAGAAGAGCTCGGGTCGTAAAATTGAAAAAAAGATTATTCTGCCGGAAGAGTCTATTTTTTATGCGTTAAGTTCCTTTGCTGAATCACGATTGGTGTTCTTCTTGAGCTCTGATTCAGAGAAAAATGTAGGGGTTAATCATTAACTAAATAAGCATGATTAGTTATTTAGTAAATAAATCTGATACTCATGTGTTGGTATCTTTGATCAATTTATTGTTTTTGGTTATAATTCAATTTTAACCTTCTTTACATCTTTCTTTATCTATCTATATATATATATATATATATTAAGAAATTGTTTAAAAATAAAATTATTTTAAATATTTTCATAGTTGAGTTAGTTTAGTTTATTTTATATAATTAATACTTTTTATTTACATACATGCCACCTTCCTTTTATATGACAATGTGTATTTCACATATTAAAAGTTAAATTGGTGTACTTTTCTAATTGATGTGAAAGATTCAGGTGGTATAAATGTAAAAATTAAAGTTTAGACGATAGATATGTAAACACATAAGAATTAGGTGGTATGTATGTAAATGTCCCTTCTAAGAATTAAAAAGAAATGGTTTTAGATTTGGTTGGCGGCTTTAAGGAGGATTTATGTCCATTTAGTTTGTATGTCATGTGTGTTGTTATTTCTATTTTTGTGTGCTGGTTGTAACTACCTATTTGTTTTTCTAGTACTAATATTTATTTACTTATTATTGTTCGGGTTAACTCAGATATCTGGTCAATCTTCCTTTTTGATGTGGGTATGATAAGAACTTAGATCTTTTATGTGATATATTGTAGCCAATTACTTGTAGGATGCACATTGCTAATGCTAGGATGTCCCTTTCATGGATGGAGACGTCTGTTGGTGCATGTACGACATGTGTTATGTTTGATTTTTTGGGATGATTTTAACCATCTAGAGGGAGGTTCATCTACCCCTTACTAATTCTTATCTTATCTTGCTTTCAATGCTTATGTTCTATCTATATATTTATTTGGATTAATTATTTAGCAATTGTAGAATATGTTTTTCGATTTCGATGCTTCATTCGGTGCAATTCGTCGTCGGTATTTTTTGTGGCTTCTAGTTGAGTGTCTTCCTTATCACCCGAGGAGAGAGACCTTTTGGATGATGAAATGAAGGGGGCCGCTTTCCCTTCTGGCATTGCAGCTAGTTTGGGAGCTGATAAGCTGCCCTGACCGAGAAGGACAGACGTTGGAGACTTTGTATTACATATGCACTCCTTTTTTATCTGGTGGTTGTTAATACTCCCGTCATTCAATTGTTTGATACGAACCATAATCTTTGACCAATTTGTCTAGCATTTTATCTCACTATCATCCAAACTTCATCATTTCAACTCTTACTTGCTTGGGAGGCAGTCATTGGTGTAAGGGAGTTATCAAAAAAACTGAGACATCTAGCGCTGAATGTTTCATCAAATAAATTATATGGACTAAGAGATTGATTTTATTTTCTTTATATAAATATATCATATTCAAAAAGAATTCTTAACTTTTATTTTAGTTAATCACTTATAAAAGCATTAAATAATTTAATATATATATATATAAATATAAAGAGAGAGAGAGAGAGAGAGGTTGATGGATAAAGATAGATGTAAAGAAGGATAAAATTGAATTATAACCAAAAAGAAAAAGTAAATTATTGAATGATACCAACACATTAGTGCAAGGTAAATCTGCTAAAAAATTAATTATGAAGATTCCGTTAATAATTAATCCCAACATTGTTCTCAGAATCAGAGCTCGAGAAGAACACCAATGACGGCTTAGAAATCTCAAGCATAGAAAATGAACTCTTCAGGTAGAACAATCTCTTCTCGAATTTTACCATTCAAACTCTTCTCCCGTACATTAAGTCATCCTTTCTCCTCCTCCGGCAAAGTGTTCACCCAATCTGGGCTTAGAAATCTCAAGCATAAAAAATGAACTCTTCAGGTAGAACAATCTCTTCTTGAATTTTACCATTCGAGCTCTTCTCCCTTACAGTAAGTCATCATTTCTCCTCCTCCGGCAAAGTGTTCACCCAATCTGGCCGCTTTTCATATGTCAATTCCCTCATCATCTCTCTCACCGCTTCTAATATCGAAAACAAATCCCTTAGTTTCAAAGTTCTCGGGGGAGTAAGTGAAATTATCGGCCTATAAGTATTCATACAGACTTTTGGGCGTTGGGTGCAAAACATAGCAAGCCATGGCTTTCGCTTCTGATTCAAATTCTGAAGAGGAGGAAGCGGGGAATGGGTGCGTTAATAACATTTATGAAGTCCATCATTCGTTGGGATATTTCTGGAAGCAACAACAAAGGAAATCCTTACCCTCCTCGGACATCACTGAGGGTTCTCCAGCAACTCATCACTGCACGTGATTCGAAAAAATAGAGGCCAAATTCCATAGTCAAAATCCTCAACACCGCGCCAAGGTAGCCAGCCGGAAGAGTATGGAACGAACATAGCGGCGGACGGTTGGCTCCGATCGGGCACCGAAAATGCAACTTCCGACGGAGTATTCAAGAAAAAGGTTGTACGTTAGTTCGCCGGAGTTGTCGGTGATGATGTCGTGTCCAAAACAACGGATGAATTGAGAACATCCCTACAGATCTGTGAGTACAACCTCTTCACGTTGGAGAAGCGTGGAAGAAGAGAGACTAGTAGATTTGACGACGAATGCGGCGGAAGGGAAGCTACAGTGGAATACAACGTAGACCGCAACGGAGCATCCTAGTCCGATGGCAGCGCCTCTCACCCAATCCATCCGGACCTGATAACAATTATTCTTGGCAAATGCCTGGCTCCGAAAGGAGATCTTAAATTATATTAAAATAAGATACACTGTTTCCTTATCTTTCCAAATAAATATAGAACTAAGTTCATAATAAATCTGGCTTTTCTTTGTTTTTAATCTCTCTCCCTCTTTCTATTAATAACTTTTAAAAATCTAAAGGATTTACTTTAATAACACTTAAATTAAAATTAAAACTAAAATTAAAATAAAGAAATTAAAAAAGAATAATAATAGATCTTAATTATCCTTCATGTTTAATTTAATTACATTCAATGGAAATCTCATTTCCATTAAATTATTAAATATTTTTATTTTTATTTACTTAAATAAAATAAAAAATGCATTATTATTAATAATAATCATTATCTTTTAAAAAATAAAATATAATTTTTCATGCAAAAGCTTTTGATGTGTTATCAAATTTGGGGTGGCATATGTAAATACATGAGAATTCTGTGGAGACATGAAAAAAGGACATGCAGAAATTCTCTCAACTGGTCAGTGCGATTGCATAAGTGCTGCATATGCACGTAGATAGATTTGAGTGGTATGATTGTAAAAAACAGGTATTTATCGGTGTAAATCTTCCAATTAATAATTTATCAGGGTAAATCTAAATGTAAAAAAAATAAAAAAAACATGACTCATTTTCCTCCATTGAGTCCTATTTAATGTAATATTTTCATTTAATTCAAATAAATTAAGATCAATATGCCCACGCCTTCCTAGGACTACCTCTGTCTTTCTTAACATAAGTTGAATCTAAAACATCTGACCTTCTAATCGGGTCATCAGATGGTCGGCGTTTAATGTGACCAAACCATCTTAAGACGTCTTTCTCTAATTTTGTCCTTCATTGGAGCTACACCAACCATATCACGAATATATTCATTTCACATTTTGCCTCTAAGTGTAAAGCCACTCATCCACCTAATAATTCTCATCTCGGCAACACTTTTTAGTTTTCTGCTCCTTTTTTAATGGCCAACATTCAGCGCCAAAGAGCATTGCCTCGGCAACACTTTTTAGTTTTCTACTCCTTTTTAATGGCCAACATTCAGCGCCAAAGAGCATTGCAGGTCTCACCACTATTTTATAAAATTTTCCTTTCAATCTAAGCGGTACTTTTCTATCACACAATAGGCCCGAAGCATTCCTCCACTTCAACCACTTGAATTATAATAATAACATTCTCATCTATATCACCATCACTTTGAACAATAGACCCGATATATCTAACGCTTACACACCTTTTAATAATTTGATCACCCATAGCTACAATTCTGTCACTAGAGCTACTATTACTAAAATTACATTCCATGTATTCAGTTTTAGTTCTACTCAAACGAAGGCCTTTAGACTCTAATATGGACCTCCATAATTCAAGTTTTTCCTAAGCTTTCTCTCTCGTTTTATCCACGAGAAGGATATCATCAACAAAAAGCTTACACCAAGGTACATCCTCCTGTAAATATCCAGTAAGAGCATCTATAACTAAAGCAAAAAAGATATGGGCTTAAAGTCGACCCCTAATGTAATCTAACAGAAATAGAAAAATATTTGATCAATCCTTCTTTTCAAACACAAATAACAGCTCTAGTATACATATCTTTAATGACTTGAATATAAGTCATATCAACACCTTTATTCTCAAGAACTCTTCAAAGGATATCTCTTGGAACCTTAGCGTAAGCCTTTTCTAAATCAATAAAAATCATATGAAGATACTCCTTATTATCTCTAAACTTCTCCATCAAACCTCTCAATAAATGTATGACTTCCATAGTAAACTTGCTGACATAAATCCAAATTGATTATGAGAAATCTTTGTAATAAAACTTAACCTATGTTCAATTACCATCTCCCATCATTTTAAAGTAAGACATCTACTTAATTCTTCTATAATTCGCACACTCTTGTGCATCCTATTTATTCCTAAAAATGAGGACCAAAATAGTCTTCCACTACTCCTCAGACATCATTTTAGTTTTTAAAATAATATTGAAGATTTTACTAAGCCAAGAAACTCCCAAATTTTTTATATATTTCCACACTTCAATTAGGATAACATCAGGCCCTATAGAATTTCCACCCTTGATTTTTATTAATGCGATGGTAAAAATAAAATATTTGTTTATTATTAATTATATTAAGATCACTAAGATCGATCACACTTTCAGAAATTTCATTAAATAATTTATCAAAATAACTCACCCACATATGTTGAATATATTTTTCTAAGAAAAATATTTTTTTTTTATATTTTCATCTTTAATCTTTAATTGAGTTAAATAATTTTTTTCCTCTTTGTTTGACTAGTTTATATATAAATTCTTTAATTAAGTTAAATAAAATTTTTCCTCTTTGTTTGACTAGTTTATATATAAATTTTTTATCCTCATTAGTAACTATCTATTATAAAGATCACAAAAAACAGAATTTTAAGCATCACAGGGTGTTCTCTTAAAAACCCTACGTGTTATTTGATATTTTTCATAGATATCTGAGATTTTACATTTAAACCAATTTTTATAACATAACTTCTTATATTTTATATTTTCTTGCACATTATTATTCCATCACAACCTATATTTAGTTATAGAAAATTTTTTCTTTTGATTCTCCAAATACATCTTTTGTCACTTATTTAATAATGTTTATTGCTTTATCCGACATAAAATTTATTTCTTCATGAACATCTCAAATCTTGAAATATTGAATTTTACTTATAAAAATAATTTTATTTGTCTTTTAGATACCCCCATCTGATTCTACTATGATGATTCCTAATATTCTTTATTTTACAACTCTTCACCTTAAAATCTAGAACTAATAATCGATGTTGAGTACTTAAATTCTCACTTAGAATGACTTTACAATCTTTACATTCTCGACAATCTCTTCTTTCATAAGAAAATAATCAATTAATATTTTAGTAGATCCATTCTTATAAGTAATAATATGCACATCTCTTTTTTTGAATAAAATATTAGCAATAACAAAATCATACATTAAAACAGAATCTAATATGACTGTCTTCTTCATTAATCACTCCAAAACTGTAGCAACCATGAATATTTCTAAAATATTCTATTACTCTACCGACATGTGCATTTTAATCTCCTTTAATAAAATCTTTTTTTTTTCAAGAGGTATCATTTGTATTAAGTCCAATGATTTTAGAATTTATCTTTAGAACCTATAACTAAACCTACTTGAGAAGCATAAGCACTTATAATAATAAAAATCTTAGCATCAAAAATAACATAAAAAATAATCATGAGTATTATAATTTTATCTCCAATTCTATTATTTTTTACAACATCATCTTTCAAACTCTTATCTATAATTACACCTACACCTTTTCCAGTACGATTCTTACCTAAATACCAAATTTTAAAACCTAAATTACCAATCTCCTTAATATTTTTCTCCAACCCATTCAGTTTCTTAAATACATAATATTTATCTTTCTATAATCATAATATTAGCTAATTTCATTAATTTACCAGTTAGAATACCTATATTCCAAGATCATATCCTAATACTAATTTCATTGACTAGCTTCTTTACCCACATTCATCCATAATATGGGAACTCTTGCCTATTTGATATTACATCAGAGAGCCAGTGTAACAGCATTTGCAAATTTTTCACTGTAATCAGACCATACAACACATCGCTTCCAGGGAACGCCCTAGCACTTACATTGATAAAAAAAAGATTCATTTCATGTTTTTTTGATAAATTTTACGTTGTCTGTCGACACAACACTCCACTTTTTACATCCAGAGCTTGAGATCCAACAATGCCAGTGTTATTAAAATCTTTTATATCACCCAAAAAAAAAATCACTATCACTATCAGTAAAAGTGAAACACCTTTTTAAAAATAATTAAAGTGATGTAGATGTAAAAAATCAAAACATTAGGTGTCACATATATAAAATACATAAGAATTGTGTGATATTTATGTAAATCATTTTTTTATTACTTTTAATACTATGGATAAATACCCGGCAATGAATTGGAAAATAATATACGCATGCCTTGGTTGAGGCTATTGAAACAGTTAGAATTCGACTGACCTTAACTGAATAATTTAAATAAACATTGCCGGAACAATGACGGCCTCTGGATGTACAAGAAATGAATTCATGCTCAGAAAATGGCATAAATAGACACAAGCCAAGGTATAAATAATCTTAGAATGGAGCTCAATGACTAATCTGCTAAATCAGCTTTATCTTCTAGTTCAGTGTTACCTATAAGCAGCTGCTTCCAGTGAAGCAAGTTCTTCGAGCTAAAAGCGCAGTTTGTCCTGAGGAGAGTTGATGCGCGCCAGAAGACAAGTAGTGCAATCTAGTCCTGGAAAGAAAAGCAAAACAGAGACTTTTAAGTAGGCTGGAAAAAGGATGAATACAATGCTCACAAGTGGTATTAATTTCAACATTTGCAACGTTAGTGGTGCGAGTGATGGGGAGCAAGATTGAGCTAAAGATAATAATGATCAAATTAATCTTCAACCTGAAAATTTAAAGATGAAGGTCAATATATTTTTCCAATACTTGATATGAAACTAAACCCAGAGCCTCGCATACCTCAACAGATCACATAAATTATCTATAGATCTCCTTTTTTTTCCATAGATGTTACTGACCAGATAAATGTTATAGCTATATAGGCTAACCAAGGACGAGAAAATGAAGTGTTCATCATCATTATCAATCTTATTCCAACAATTTGGGACCGAATATATGGTACCCCAATCTCTTTTCGTTCCTAAAGAGTGGGAGAAACTTCGTTTTCCAGTTTTTTATTAAGGTTATCAATGGTATAACCTTTTCCTTCCAGCCTTTTACTAATTTTATCTATCAAATCTTATAGTGCATTATCTACCCATCGTAAAGCATAATATTCATACATTATCTTTCAGTGAAACTTACCATTGAAATAAGCACCCTAAGAGATGAAGAAGTAGGCTAACCGTGGACTAAACAATAAAAATATAACTGTTTTGTAATAGACAAATTATCTGTAAGGGATTATATTTTTATTCAAAAAAAAAAAAAAAAATTACTGGCCAAATAAATGTTGAAAAGTATCGAGAGCATTATAGACAAGTGCATCTTATAGTTGTATGTGTTTGCAGAGCAAAAGGTCAATTACTGAACTTACCGTCTCTTGTTTGTCTCTACAAATCTATCCGCTAGCCGAGAGCATTCAAACCTTGATATCTGACCAACATATGATAAGTATTCATGAAATGCAACACCTTGTATTACCATAGACAACCTTGCCGGAACTATAGGAAGAATGGCATTGTAAAGGTCAGCTGCCAATTCCCTGCAGCGTGATGTGGAAAAACCAAAAATCTCAAAAAATATCCAAGAAAACTGAATTTTGATATGTTTTCAAGTGTTTTGAAGCATAAAATTAACAAAAAATTGAATGCTGAAGCAGTAGGTTAACCGTTACCTTCTAACTGGAATCAGGGATGGAGATGCCTTTACACCTGAATCTTTAAAACAAGAATTTTGGCCAGTAATGCTCTCCCGTGTAAGTAACTTTCCAAGAGCAGTGCTACCAGTGCTGGAAGTCAACGTCTCTCGGGCCAAATCTGATGTGTTACTGCAACCCAGACGTGAACCAACTGCAGCAATCTTGGTTGCGTAAAAGCAGAGTCCATGCTGAGCAAAAGTAGACCCCATCTCTACTTGTTCATCATGCCAAGAGAATGAATCAGGTTCAACACAAGGAATTGATGTTGGCTCAAAATTGTCCTGCAAAGATACCAAAATATCATATAAAAAATCATTCAAATAAGTTAAAGAAATAACCATCATTATATTTATCTGAATGTTCAAGATTATCTTACACAGGTGATTGGACTGCAGTTGCTAAACATAATGTCAGCTTCTGATATCAAATCTGCAAGTCCAGAAGTTAGGCTTGCCACCAAAGAAACATCTTTATAATTTGACGACAGTAACTTAAGGTTTTCATGATGGCAACTCCTTAGTCTTTTCCATGTTTGGGAAATTGAATCAGCATCATGAGGGCATTCGGTACCATCCCTGTGCATTAACTGTGCACTGAAATCAGGATTAGTACAATTATACGCTAACTGACACTCATTGGGCCTATGTTCATTTTGAAAGCAAACAATTTCCTGATTTCTTTGCAGCAACTCTTTATGTACATCAGCTGTGCTGACATGGTATTCCAAGCACTTGCTTAATTCTGTACTATCCCCATCTGCATTATTTAAACCCAGTCCAGGATGGAGAGCCGAAATGTTCAAACCATATGAACTAGTGGACACTGAGTTTTGAGATACTTCCTGGGAGAAAAATGTAAAATTTTTTTCAGTCCCAGAAACGACAGATGATTCTGACGTACAAGCATCCACAAACTGTCTTCTGGAAGCATTACAGACATGGGAAGTTGACGCTACTTCAGTAATGTCAAAAGAGTTTTGAAAAACCAAGGCATTCCTTGGTTCATCCATCTGATCAAGTTGAGCAATTCCATGTTCCTGATCTTTTGAAATAGCAGAGGCGGTGATAGCTAGAAAACTGTGGCTATCAGCTCGAGTTAATGAATCTTCATGATTGAGCTCATCAAAAGATGACTTTTGACTAGTTGATATATCAATAGGCCTGACCTCATCAAAGGAAAGCCCATCATCAGACTCTGAGGATAAAACCACACAAGGTTTTTGTTTGGTTTTTCCTAGCAAGCATGTCGATGGAGAATCTGAATCATATAAAAGGTCTCCAAGATTGGTCATGTGATCTGAAAACTCTGAGTGACCGGTGATAGATTGTTTTCTCAACCTTCCTTTCTTTCTACTTTTGACAGCAGGTGTAGCATTTAACTTCTCCGAGGGATCATCAGTTTCCCATAAGCTAAAGTTGAGTTGCAAAAGCTCATTAATAATAGAATTTTTTTCCAGTACAATAACTACTTTGCTGATCTCCTCTTCCATCCTTTCTGATAATTCACATCGTAAATTCCAAGGAAACACACGTGGAATTGCCAAATGCACTGCATCAATATCAAATGGCACCGGACTTTTGGTGCATTGGGTCATTTTTCCTAAAGAATATAAGAAAAAACATATGAACAATTACACGATTATTTTAGTTAAAAGTAAATACAGAGGATCATAAATTATGGAAACAAAAGTGATTGCAACAGTGTTTGAGCCTTATGTAAATGCTAAATGTAGGAAAGCAAACAAAAATTGGGACTTCAAGGAGAAACCCATCTCTCTCGGGCATAAATGTGTATATGAGAGCATTTTCTTCTAATTTTATTTTATTCCTACCACCTTATACAAACTTCCGGCTCTATATCTCATAGTAGATCTTCATCAAGAACATGAAACCCACATATTCCAAGTTTCAATAATTTTTATGATGATTTAAACAATCATTAATCAAATTAAAATAATAAAAATAATAAAAAGTATTAGAATATCAGAATATTAATATGCAGCTTTGATTATATGTAGAATTTTGTATTATTTGCTTTGATTTGTTTTTATTTACTTCCCATTATTCTGTTTTTATTTGTTTAATTACCTGTAGATCCTATAATGGAGTATTAATACCCCTCATTGCATCAATAAGATCATCTTGGTTCTATTATAACATGGTATCAGAGCCATGGTCCTAACATATCTACTGTCGGCTGGCCAATCCAGATCCCTTCTACTTAGCCGACAAGGTCTGCTCCCGGCTACTTGCTTTAGCTTCTGCTTCCATCCAGCCGACCAGATCCAACATGGGAAGTTCAGTCTGCGTCGGGATAGATCCGCATGTTTCAACGTCGATGAGCACATCCAACGTGGATAGTTCGATTTACGTGGGAAGTTCGGTCTGCTGAAACAAAGGATCTACTCTAGGAATCTACTTCCATCCATTGTGAGAAACTCAGTATGCTTCAGGACAGATTCCCTCTCCTTGCTGCCAGCTGCTTTAGGATCCTATTCTAATCCCCTGGAAACTTCTTCCAGCCGACATACGCTTCAGGTCCAGCAAGAACCCTTCCAGCAGCCAAAATTTTAAGATTTCTCGACAATCTAACATCTTGTTTGTCTCAATCAGAGTCACGATGGACTACTCCAACACTGAGATGTTATCAGAACATGTTCTTGCTTCCACTAGAGGATCAATTCCAACCTAGTTTCACTAGGACAGGAAAACGACAAGAACTCGTTGATTACAACCCATAAACTAAACGACAACAATTTTCTCCAATGGACTCAATTTGTATCCTTGTTCATCAAAGGGTGTGGGAAATTCGATCATCTAATTAGTGTGTTTTGTGAACCTCCAAAGATTGAGCCAACATATGGAGCTTGGAAAGTGAAGAATTTCATAGTCATGTCGTGGCTGGTCAACTCCATGGAGACTTCAATAGGTCGATCATACATGTTCCTTTATTCCGCTAGTGCCATCTGGACGACAGTCCATGATACCTACTCAGATCTAGGGAACTTCAATCAACTCTAAGAGGTATCTAAGAAAATCTATAAGGTAAAACAAGGAATGAGGATCACGTCCCAGTAGTACAATGATTAGTTGCATTATGGATGAAATGTGATTTGTATTATGACTAAACTTTAGAATTTCCGACAGACCTATCCCTCTTTCGAAAAAATGTAAAAAATGACAGCATGTTCTAATTTTTGACAGGCATCAACAAAGATCTTGATGAAGTCAGGGCCGTATCTTTGGTCGAGATTCTCTTCCTTCTACTAGCACTGTTTTACTAAGATTCGTCGCAAAGAGAATCGAAGCCTCATCATGCTTGATGCATCTACTCCGTCTGTCGAAGTAGCCGCCTTGATTTTTAATAGTGCTCAACATTGGATCGGGTCTCTCCACTTGTGATTACTATCACGAACCCAACCACACTCATGATAAATATTGGAAGCTCTACGAAAAACCTGCATCCAAGCTCTCGGCTAAATCTTCTACTACCAAGGGTTTCACTCTAACGTCTTAATCCAATATAGTACAACCGGCCTCTACCCAGAACAATCTGGAATTCTCCAAATATCTTAAAAGCCTCTACCCAGAACAATCTGGAATTCTCCAAATATCTTAAAAGTTAAATGAAGCACTTAATCAAGCTGCTTGGATCTAGTCTGCTCTCTTCCGACCCATCTACCTCCACGTTTGTCAAAATGCAAATACTATGACACTCACTTCTTTTGACACTTTAGTCCATAGATCATTGATTCAAGTGTCATGGACTACATGACTGGAAGCTCTTAAACTTTCTCAACATAATATCCTTGCTCAAGGAAAGATAATGTTAAAATTACTGATGGGTCCCAAAATTCCAAGGCTGGTAAAGGGTCTTTTGTTTTAACAGGTCTAAGTCTGAAATCTGTCTAACATATACCTCTACTGAAATATAATCTTTTATCTGTTAGTAAAATGACACATGTCATTGATTGTATGCTTTTTTTCTCTGATGTCTGTGTCTTTCAGGATCATCATTCAGGGAGAATAATTGAAACTGCTAAGTGGGTTGACAGGCTTTATTTCTTCCAAGAGAAAAACACAGAGAATGAGACCACTCCACCCAGTAGTTGCAGTTTATCTCAGTTCATTGAATATTCTATTATGTTCTTACACAGTCGTTTGGGTCATCTTAGTTTTCAATATCTAAAACAATTGTATTCGTTGATACTAATGAAAATCCTTCTAATTTCAAATATGAAACCTGTCAGTTAGCTAAATATCATCGTGTTCCTCATCCACCTCACAATTACACGCTGTCTGCTTCTCTCTCTTATGGGGACCTCTCGCACTCTTAGCAAAACCAATAAACACCGATTTCTTACTTTGATTAATGACCACACTCTGATAAGATGAACCTATATTTTAAAATATAAATCTTAAGCTGTTATCACTTTCAAAAACTTTCACACATTCATTTTGACCCAATTCAAAACTTATATTTAAGTTCTTTGAACTGACAATGGTCATTAATTCTTTAACTCTATATTAGAAGAATTATTAGTAAGAGCATTCTTCAACATAACTCTTGTACTCATAATCATAAACAAAATGGGGTAGCTGAGAGAAAAAATCAACATCACTCGCTTCATTATAATTCACTCTAATGTCCGAAATTGTTTTTGTAATGATGTCAGTCTTACCGCCACTTATCAATATTCCCTCAAAAATTGGGTCATCTTAGTTTTCAATATCTAAAACAATTGTATTCGTTGATACTAATGAAAATCCTTCTAATTTCAAATATGAAACCTGTCAGTTAGCTAAATATCATCGTGTTCCTCATCCACCTCACAATTACACGACGTTTGTTTCTCTCTCTTATGGGGACCTCTCGCACTCTTAGCTAAACCAATAAACATTGATTTCTTACTTTGATTAATGACCACACTCTGATAAGATGAACCTATATTTTAAAATATAAATCTTAAGCTGTTATCACTTTAAAAAACTTTCACACATTCATTTTGACCCAATTCAAAACTTATATTTAAGTCCTTTGAACTGACAATGATCATTAATTCTTTAACACTATATTGGAAGAATTATTAGTAAAAGCATTCTTCAACATAACTCTTGTACTCATAATCATAAACAAAACGGGGTAGCTGACAGAAAAAATCAAACTCACTCGCTTCATTATAATTCAATCTAATGTTCGAAATTGTCTTTGTAACGATGTCAGTCTTACCGCCACTTATCAATATTCCCTTGAAAATTCACAACGTTTGTATCCCTTTAGCCATCTTGAGACCGTGATTTCCTAACAATCGAGTCTTCTTCACTTTAGATCCCAAATTTTTTGGGTGAACAACCTTTATTCAAAACACAACCCCAACTCAGAGTAAACTTTATATCAGGCCCATAAAATGTACTTTCCTAGAATACTCTGCCACTCAAAAGGGTGTCAATGTCTGGACCCCTATCACAAATAAGGTCTGTGTGAGTTCTGATGTCTCTTTTTTGAAAGTGCTCCCTACTTCTTACCTCAGCCTCAAGTGAGGAGCTAGAGTTCTTAGACACTGTCATTACACTACTACTGTTGATGTTCACCCCACGTCATATACCATCGAGGAATGCTCTGATCCTTTGGTTCCACCCACTTCTCCTACCGCCAAGAAGCCCTCTGTCCCTTTGATTTCACGAACACATTCTCCAACTCTCCATGCCTACACTCGACGTACTCATTCTGATGAACCTAATATGGAGCTTGGTAACCCCTTACTGGACCATGAATCCCTTCCAGACAACAATCCCCAGTACTGCTACTCCAAATGAGGAAGACAGTTCCTCTAGTAAGGTATGCAATCAGACATGCTTTCTCTATCTCATGTCAAACTATGTTACGACCCTGGCCAATCATCAGCTTTCCTGTAATATTGAATATGCCTTAGCAAACCCAACCTGAAAAGCTGTCGTCGTGGAGAGGATGAATGCACTTTAGAGAAATCATAATTGGTTGGGAAACTGTTGGCGAGAAAGTCGCGGGATGTCGATGAATTTTCCGCATCAAGTATAAATCTGATGGATCCTTTGAATGCAACAATGCACAGTTAATTATGAGGATACATTTGCTCCAATTGCTAAATTATTTACGATCAATATCTTCTGGAGTCTTTCTTGAGCGAACACATTTTTATGGAAAAAGAGAATATCTTCTAGTCGTGTGTTGTAATTCTTTTCAGAGGATCCTATGGTTCCTCAAAGATACCTTCATACATTATGTTTGATATCAAGGAAAAGCGATTCTGGCTTCAAAAGTCACTCTTATTCTGATGAATAAATGTCCATTTCATCTTGTGAATTTTTGGCAATCTTCTTTTCACTTTTGGTTTAAATCTTATAGGATCCATATAAAGCAATTACCCAATTATTCCTTCTCTTTTCTGGGGTCTTTTTCAAGTGTACTAAAAAATCCTTTGGTAGTAAGAAATCAAATGCTAGAGAATTCATTTCTAAGAAAGACTCTGACTAAGAAATTCGATACCATAGCCCCAGTTATTTCTCTTATTGGATCATTGCTCAATTTTTTACTGTATTGGGTCATCCTATTAGTAAACC